CCTGTAGCTTCCCTACTTGGGGCGTCAGCGGTGAACTCCGAGGGGCTCCCGGAGGGGGGATGAGGTGGAGAACTTCCCTGCCAGTTACTCAGCATCCCCCCCACCCCCCAAGCTCACGTTTGGGGAGATGCCCTGCGGGTGTCTTGGCCCTGGAGGGGGAGCAGTGCCCCCGGATTAAGTTTCCACAGGTCCCGCCAGCCCCCGGCTCCCGGCTCCCGCCTCCCCGCGCCGGTGTCTGGCTGCGCGCGCGGGGCTGGCCAAGGGGCTGCGGCTGCTTTAAGAGCCGCCTCCCCCTCTCCTGCCTCTGACAATGGTCTGAACCGAGCTCTGCTTCCCAAAGCAAAATTTGTAATATGCCATTTTTCCGATGGACGCTTCCCCCTTTGGCCGCTGACGGGGCCGCGGGAGGATGCGGAGCCGCTGCCGGGCCGCCCGGAGGGCGCGGAGGGCTCCGGGGGGCGCGGGGCGCGCGGGGCTGAGCGGCCTGTCTCCCCCCGGCGCCGGGGGCAGGGTCCCGGGGCGCCGGGCGTGAGCCTCCCCTCCCGGCCAGCCCGAGGCTGCGGTGGTCATTGATCCATTGAAGAAGCGGGACCCGAGATTACCGGCATTAGGTACAATGACTGTATTTGAGTGACACGGTCTCCCCTACCGCTTTATTTATTCATTCATTTATTTTTTAACTCCCTCCCCACCCGGCCCCACCCCGCCCCCAGGGAAGATGAGATGCAAATTCCTCCTTGCCAATTACTGACTGCTGGGTATCTTTGGCTTCCCACCGGTCTCACTCCCATCCCTCCTCCTATCTCCCTGCTCGGTCCCCTCCCGTTGGGCAGAATGAAGAATGCTAAGTGTGGAAAGGATGAAGTCAACTTCTTCAGGGGGCGGGGGTGTGGCCCAGAGACAGCTGTCCAGCCCTGGCAGATGATCTGGCTCCTTGGCCAGCGGTAGAGGCGCTGGGGTCAAGAAAGTGCAAAATGCTTCCTTAGAGGCGGATGGTATTATTTCCAGAGGACAGGGGATTTCAGAGTTAAATAGGAGGAGGAATATTCATGTAACGTAATCAGACAATAGCTAGGATTTCTCTCAAGGAACTACTTGTGTGTGTGTGTGTGTGTGTGTGTGTGTGTGTGTGTGTGTGTGTGTGTGTGTGTATTCGCTGAGATGGAGCTGGGTTAGTTCTTAAAACTCAATCTTTGCAGAAGAAACTAACTACCAAAGATAATTTCATCGTTGCTTCTACTAAGGTCCTAGTTGATCTGCCTGTATAAAGTGATTCACTGACAGGAAGGAGAAAAAAAAAAAAGCCTTTTGTAGCACTATTATATCTGTGTGGGTATTGCTTAAATATTGCTAAGAAACACATTGGATCTTGAAGCTTTTGGGTACTGACGCTGCCGGTGGGCATTCAAACTTTTATTTTGAAATCTGAGCGATTTAGGAGACAGTCAAGGTTATGTGCTAAGAATAAGGGAGTTGGTTTTCCTTGTATAAAATTATCCAAGCTAAATTTAAGCACTGGGATAATTAAACGAACCAAGTGTATTGTTGTTGTTGTTTTTTTTCCTTTTAAAATACAATAATCTCTACTCGGTCTTGAGACCTTCAGTAATTTAATGAACAAGGCATACACATCTAGAAGAGGATAACGTAATCCGTGTATCCCATTGACTTTGGAGAGAAGGAGATGAAAAGGCAAATATCAAAGCAAAGTGTTAGTAACCCCTTCCTGGTTTTTCAGGAATTATGCTATGCAAGGCAGTTGCGATTTTGAAAATGATCAGAAAAGTTAAAGGTGGTATATAAAAATGAAATGTACTAGTGGTTGAATAAGCATAGACTTCTGGACTGTCCAACTTGCTTCAGATGTCATCTATTCTATGAGAGGGAGTTTAATTTTACACTGAATATCTATTTTTAATTGCCTTTAATTCCTAAAATGTGCATTTAAGAAATAGGTTATGTTTATTTTAAGGATTATACAAACATTTTGTAATTTATATTAGAATCTGAGATCTATTGCAAGAAGCTAAAGTAGTTCATGAAAGTGTCTTATTTTTTTGTAGAAAGATCATCTCCCCCCCTCTCCCAGTTTTGTTGAGAAGAGTTCAGATGTATTTATTTGGGTTGACTGCTGGTTAAGAAAACCATAATGTATGTATCTTATTTCTTAGGTAATTTTGCATAGTTTGATTTTTTAAGTTGAATGTGGAGAGTTCAGAGTACTCAATGAAATTAAATCCTTAGGCATGAATCAAAAACCAAAATATGAATCAAAAACCAAAATATTCTTTCTGAAAAGATGAATGTTTTATAATAAAAAGAATACTTGAATTTGTAAAAGCCCCTTATTATTTTACTGTGTAATCTCAGTCAGGTATACAATTAGAGTGTTAGAACACTTTTTTAAAAAAATATATATTTTATTGATTTTGTACAGAGAGGAAGGGAGAGAGGTAGAGAGTTAGAAACATCGATGAGAGAGAGTCATCGATCAGCTGCCTCTTGCACACCCCCTACTGGGGATATGCCCACAACCAAGGTACATGCCCTTGATCAGAATCGAACCCAGGACCCTTCAGTCCCCAAGCTGACGCTCTATCCATTGAGCCAAACCAGTGTAGGGTAGAACACTTTTTTAAAAGCATAGATTATTAACCTGACTTTACAGAAGTTTTGACAGGTGCAGTGACTTTCCCTGGTTCACATGCTACAGGAGTGAAATTGAATCCAGTTCTCTGAAGTGTAGATTTAATATTAATAGACTTTCTGAAGTCCCCATGGTGCTTCGCCTCATCATAGCATTTTTGGACTTAATCAAAACCCAGCTTCCATAGCCATTTAAGAGCCTGGTGACAAGTCTATATTAGAAGTAGGGTAGTATATTCAGGAGAAAATTATAACAGAGTTAATCAATAAAAGTTGTGTTTTTCATTGGAATTTAAAGTGAAGATGGGCTAGTGGCTTTCTTTCAAGAAGGATATAATTTAAAATACAGATTTAATAATGTTTAAGTAATTCTAAAATTTAAATCTTGCAAGTGTTTTGACACAAATTGTCACAATGCTACCATTTTCTCTTCCAGTATTTTGTTGTAACTGTACATATCAAACAAACAAACAAAACACACACACACACACACACACACAAATTCTACAATGGCTCCTAGTAATGATTTCTCAGAATGACACAGTTGTTCAGTATGTATGTCATGCATGGCAAGTAAGCTAATTGTTTTAAATATTCAAATGTGTTGGAACACTTTTTTGTTTTGCAATTTCCTTTCAATCAAGGTAAAGACAATTTGTAAATTTAGGAGTATTTTTATTCCATCTTTGTGATAGTGTTTGAATAAAATTCAAAATAAAAAATACAAATAATATTTTATTTGTATTTATTTATTTGTTAAGTCCCTAACAAAATAACAGTGTGTGTGTGTGTGTGCATGTGTGCGTGTGTTTGTGCCTGTGTTCACATATCTGTATATTAATACATCCTGTGTATCTACCTTGTTATTTATTTTAGGGTGAATAAGAAATTGAACAAGTGAAATTCTTACCTACAGGTAGCCCACTGTTTTGAATGACAAGCAATAATTCAAAGCATTATCTTGAATTATTCTAAAAATCACCCTCCTTAATGTTTTTTACATAGGGTATCAGTGACAAAAATACTTTGCTCTTATCTTTCTGAAAGTTTCTCCTAGCTTTCAGAGAGCCCTGATCAAATCATTTACAGATCATTGAATTTCTCTCCTCAATAACTCAATTTGTAGAAAGAATTACATAAAAATAATTAACTATTGAGCTGTTAAGGCTTGACATTTTATTTGAAAATATCTTCATAAACATTTTCCCCAAGGACAGGAACATGCAGGCAGAAAAATGAATTGACCTTGCCTTATAAAACCAAAGAATGCTTCAGGATCAACAGCCAAACCAGCCTTTCTCCACATCAGCCTTCTACAAAACCAAGCCCTCTAATTAATAGCTCCTGGCCTCGGGACAACAGCTGAAGCTGAGATGTGTTTGATTCTTTTAAAAATGTAAGACAGAGCATAAATGAGAAAAAGAGATACTTTCTGCTTATTAAAATGCCACACACTAGATCAATGTTGCATCTCAATGTCTGTGTTGTCTATTTTAAAATAAATCAATAAATTATTATTTTTAACTATCCTATGTAGTTAATTTATTTCATGACTGGTAGCCTTTGTTTAGCAGCTGAGATGTGAAGTTACTGCATTGACCAATGTAATTTATGGTATCAGTTTTGTGGACCATTCGAAAGTGTTAATTTGTATTGTTTGGATGAAAACCAGACAATGCAGCTCATAGGAAACAAAGGAATATTTAGCGCAATTAGTAGTATATTAATCTAAACAAATGTATGTACCTCACTCTATTTCATAAAGGTTATATTTAATTCAGTCACTTTACCTTGTAGTCTACTTCAGGAATTTAGGGAGAGATCATGGAAAAATAATAAAATGGGAGTTTTGAAGTAAAAAAGCTTTAAACTGGTGTGAAAAAAGTGTTGATAAAATAAAAAAAGTAAAAACTGTTTATTGTATAAACAGAATACTCTCTTACTTGTAAAATTTCCTGAATAAAAGAGTGAACATTAATTCATTGAATTACTTGTCATTTAAAAATAATTTACTGCCCACCCATTAAGTGGCAGACACTGCTTGTTGTTAACAATATATAACAAATAAAGATAATATGAAGGTATTAGCAATAAGGGATTTGTAAATTTATAGGGGAAAAAAAGGTGATCAATTAACAAATGTAGTGATATGTTACTAAAAATTGAATTAGGTGGAATAATTCATGAAAAAAATCACTTTCCTTTGAGATAAAAATATTTAGTTTGCTTGCAATAAGGGGAAAAGAGACAATTGGCTAAGGAGCTGCACAGCATTTGCTGGGTTGAGGGCTGGGCAGCATTATTGGAAAACATTTCTTTACTAAGACTTCCCTCCCCTTTACTTTCTTTAAGCAATGATGTGTGAAGTGATGCCCACGATTAATGAGGACACCCCGATGAGCCAAAGGGGGTCCCAAAGCAGTGGCTCGGACTCAGACTCCCATTTTGAGCAGCTGATGGTGAATATGCTTGATGAAAGGGACCGTCTTCTAGACACCCTACGTGAGACCCAAGAAAGTCTTTCCCTTGCCCAGCAAAGACTGCAGGATGTCATCTACGACAGAGATTCGCTCCAGAGACAGCTCAACTCAGCCCTGCCGCAGGTATGCTTCCTGGTAGCATTTGTCCTTCCAACTGCAGTTGAAAATATGATAAGGCTTAAGTAAGCTTTGTTTTATTTCCATTCTTATAATTATGTTTCCCTTTATAATATACGGTATGTATGTTTTGGTGAGAGAAAAAAAAATAGGAATAGATACTAATTCACATAAAACCTTGCCTCAAAGAAAATTGTGGTATGTTGGTGATGGGAAGTGTGGAGCATGAGTTTCTACCTGGTCTTTTCTTTTTCATTTTCTTTCTTTCTTTCTTTCTTTCTTTCTTTCTTTCTTTCTTTCTTTCTTTCTTTCTTTCTTTCTTTCTTTCTTTCTTTCTTTCTTTCTTTTCTTTCTTTCTTCTTCTTCTTCTTTTTTTTTTTTTTTAAATTTAATCTGTATGTTTTGGTGGGGGCGGAAAATCACCTGTTGATCATCAGAATATGGGAACAATTGATTTCCTTTCTTTTTTAAACATAATCATGACATTTCGAAGCACGTATTTTTCGCTTTCAGTTGTTGCTCTATCTTTGGAAGGGATAATAGTTTGTAAAACTACTAATTATTTTTATTTAGACAGTGTTAGGAATATTTCTTTTAAAATGCCTTTCACCTGCTTAAAAATTCTGGGAGTTATTGATGTATTGCCTTCTCCACTCAAAAACATCTTAACCAGTTTCTTTTAGTAAACTATTTTGGAAATTAGAAAAAAGGCAAAAGTTCAGCACTTATTCTCACAAACTAAAAATTGTTAGATGAGTTATTTTTTAGAATATTTTTGTCAAGAATATCATTTTATAAAAAATATAAAATTTTAAGGATTCCCAGATTATTTATATACAAAGTTAGTAGTGAAAGTTAATTTTTTTATTTAAGAGTAGCATATTTGTATTTATTTGAAGTATGGAAAAAAGCATAGAAAGTGAATGAGATTTTTAATAATCACTACCAATATAGATATACTATATTTTTGTATAATATATAAAAAAAATTGGTCCTGTGCTTTACATACAATATAGCTAATGTTGAAGAGTTTACTTCTCGCTGTGAAGTTATATCTTGTAAATATTATGCTTTCATAAATATTAAAATGTATATAATGAAGGTGGATGAAATTCTAAACCCAGCTGTATTATTAACTTGCACTGTGGTGTGGAGGTACTGATCATTATCAGAATGGAAAGGACCACCTAGAACCTTTTTCACACCCCATTAGGTAATCCCATAATTCTAAATGGATAACACCTGTCCTAGACTTTTCATTTATAGTCAGCTTGTCTTGCTTTGCGATACAATTATATTTCCAGTAACTCTCACCTGTAGGTACCCTGATGTGTCTAATTACACAGGATGAGTTGATTCACTTAAAAAAATTCATCAATAATTTTATTCTTAAAGCTAGACATTTCAGTCTTTGCAATTGTTCTTCACAAGGTAATTTCTAGAGTGATCACATCATGCTTACTCCTCACTAGGGCTATTTGAGTTGGTCAATGCTGTTGTTAAAGGGTGGTCCCTGAACCAAACATTCATCATCTTCTGTGACAAGCCTAGACTGGGATAACCATTTCTTTTTCTGGATAGAGTGTTTCATTATGAGAAGCATAGGACTGTATTATATTTGGGAGCAGCTTCAACATACTTTTAGTATGTCTTGGGACAGTCAACTTATAACTGAATTGCATAAGTGTTACCTGTGTTCCCATTTTCCCTACTCCTTTTGGAAGTTGACTCTTTGGTCCTAAGTGTACGAATATGCATGTACTTCTCCTATATTTATCTTTTCGTATTTTATTCAAGCCTGATGGTGTTGATTTGGATCCTAATTCTATCAAAGTGATTCTAAGAATAATTTGGGTTTTTGAATTTTTTTCTCTATCTTTACAAAAATGAGTGATTATTTCATAAGAATGCTGAAAATAGAAAGTACTACAACAATATTTTTTTTGGGGGAAAAGAAAACTGAAAATATTTTCATATAAATAATATTGTATAGATAAATCTATTCTTTAAGGTACAAGAATGAAAAATTTTAATTCTAGAAATTTGATTGTATTGAATATCTGGTTTATAACATGACCTAAAATTTCAAGTTTTGAATTTTAGTCAATCTCTTATCCAAACACTTTGGGGCCAGGTGTTTTAGAAATCAGAATTTTCCTTAGTGCTTGTATATATATAATAAATATTATGGAATACTCCTGCAGATGAATTCTGGATAGAATCCCATAAATATACATTTACATATCTGAAGATAATTCTATGAATATTTCTATTGTATGGAAAAAATAAAAACTATAAATGTCTCATGTTAGTACAGGCTTGGTTTTGCCACCAATCAAGTCTGCAACATACAACAAAATATGAGTTTATAGAGTGTATAGGTTTGGGAATTATATACTATGTATTATGAACCTGTACATTTAGATGCACATAGTTTCAATCTGATCTACAAATACTTTGACACATTTCTTTAATATTGTTTTGCAGATTAGAGTTATAAATATCAAATACTTCTAGTAATCCACAGGTTCTTAAATGATAGTTCTGTCATTTTAATTACCTATTCTGTACTTTAAGGGCTATAGGTTTCCTAATAGAAGAGTATTCTTTAATTGCTATCTTTGAATCTTTTTCAATATTTTGTAAGCAATGCACCTGCAATGTTTGGTGGCACTGCATTTGACATTTATCTTGATAGAGAAAATGATTACCATAAATGTGAGTTTTAAGGCAGAAATAAAGCATGTAAAATTGAAAATTACTATAAATACATCAAATAAAAATTATTTTAGCAAATATGGGAGAAAATTCAAAGCAGAGTCAAACTTTATGACACGTCGTTGTAAAAATTGCTTATCTAATACTTTTAGGTATTGATAACTTGGTGTTTTGCTTTAGTTACTTTCTCTCATCATTCTTTTATGAACAATGCATCAATGATTAGTTCTTCTCATATGAGTGGATATAAATGTGTTTAAATAATACTCATAATTTAAAAGTATTCCACATCTCCAGGCCTGATGTTTCTGAACTACACACTCAATTTTTTTTAGAAATTTACATGTTCCGCAGAACCTCAGCTTCAATGTGCCTCAAACTCAGTCATCATCTGTCTCTTGTTTCCTCAACCTAATTTGCTTGAATTCTTCACCCAGACACCTGAGAATACTCATAGCTGAAGTCTTCTCCCTCACCTCTGAATTTAGTGCTCTTTGGGCCATACTGTTTTAAATCTTAAGTAATTTCAATCTCTCTGTATTTTCTGGTTTTCTGCAGCTGGCCTATAGTGTTCTCCTCAATATCTTTGAGTCACTTCTCATTCAAGCTTAGCCTTTATATCTTCCCAGAAGCTTTCTCTGAAAGCCCAAGTATATTTCCTCTGTGTTCCTTCCCCTTATTATCTACCATATTATCATTAAGATATATTGATTAGGTGACTAGATTGTAGACTCCTTGAGAGCAGGCACATATGTCAATCATCTACAACCCTCTCAACCAGTAGAGTAATAGTAGCAAGTACTTTCAAGGTAAAATGAGAACCAAATGTATATGGTTTAATGTAGAAAGAGCAATACATTTGAAATGGGAAGATTTGGTTGGTATTGTGACTCTACCATACATCATAACTTGAGTCAGGACTTCAGATTTCCATATTACAAAAAGTGGTTAATACAAATACCTCAAATAATAGTTTATGATGATTAAAGAAAAGAATGTAAGTAATAATGTAAGTAAAAATTAATTAATTTGTAAAGCATTATATAAAAAGTGATTGTATCTGTTATCCAGAATGTCAAAAGATAAACTAATTTCTACATATGTATGTCAATGGGAATTAGAACAACTTGGTAGGAATATTGATAAACAGTTTAACATTTTTGAAATCAGGATATTTATTAATTACTAATATGCTTATTAATAATATTAAAAAAATTAAAGATAGTGAGATTTCTATTGTAAAAATTATATATAAAGTTTAAAATTAATTTTTATCATTTATTTAACATTTATTGAAGGCCTTCTGTATATTATTAAATGTTATACAGAAGGCCTTCAATAAATGTTTGTAAAAGGACTAGAAAAAAAAGGAATACAATTTGGCTTCCAGAGAATTTAGGAGATAGAGTTGCTTAGCAAAAATATGTAAAGTGGATCAAAATTAATATGGTAAAAGATTATAGAGGTACTGGAAATATTTGAGATATAATACTGATTGTGATTAACAGCAGAACGTTTCATGTGGAAAGCAATTTTAGAGAGTTATTTTTAGGAAAAGGTTGGAAATAACTCAAGGGTATTTCATATGAAGTAGTAGAGTTTTGCATAGGCCTCTGTTCAAGGACATTTTGGGGGATAGAAATTCAGCCTACACTCTGCTTTCAGGATTAGGCTTTGGGTTTCCTAATATTCACAGTATCTTTTTTTTTTGTTTGTTTTTTATTTTTTTGCTTTAAGAAGACTAGGAATTAAATAAGGAGAATAACAACAGATTTGTTTATTGAAGGGTTGTAGGGTAGGAATGAAATTTTTTATAGTGTCAGTGGAGGAGGGTGGCCTGTTCATATGTGTGGTGACAGTTAAAAATAGGAGTTTGTTTACAGGATGATTAGTAAAATTATGAATGAACTGGTGATATGATAATGTAATAATGAAGAAATATTCTGATGTTTGAATTAGGATAGATTGCATGCTATTCATGTATTAGCTATCTTGCAAAAATAATGCGGTGTGACAAAGAACACAAAAGCTCAGTGTCTTGCAAAAATATTGGTTTATGAAATTCAGGTGATCTTAACTTGGATTGGTTGATCTTGGCTGTGCTCACTTATGCCCCTAGTTAGCTAAAGATTGGCATGGTTAGTTATACTGGCCATTGTCTGATATAGATGGCCTCAGCTAGACCAACTGGGGTCACTCAGCTCTATGCATGTTTTTAATCCTGCAATAGGCCAGATTATTCATGGTCATGGCAAAGGAGTATGAGTAAAACATAAACAATCAAGTGC